GCATTGAATTGTTTTCAACTGTTGAACTGTCAACCAAGATAGCATTTAGCAGCCAACACAACCACCCGTCACCAGATTGACCAACGATGTTGAAACTCATATTTGTGTGTGTGTGTGTGTGTGTGTGTGTGACAGCGACCTCTACTGCTTCGTTTGGAAACAGCAACAGCAACCACCACACTGGTTTACACATGCGCAGTAGTCCAGGAAGTATTTGTTACTGTTAGTTTCAGACGCAGCACGAACGTTACATTGCTAAAATGGCTCCGAAACTGACCTTTGCAGACCAAGGAGTTAAGAAAAGAAAAACATTCACGCTTGAAGACAGGATAAAAATAATAAAAATGAAAGACGGAGGAAGCAAAGTAAAAGACATTATGCAAGAAATTGATATAAGTGAAAGTGAATTTTGCAATTTCCCGTTGTTTTCTTTCTACACTGGCTATATGAAGTGTCAAATAAGTGTATGCTCATATTTATGCACTACGTATTGGAATATAAATAAAGAGTACACACATACGTTTTCTGTGTGTGTGTGTGTGTGCGTGTGTGCGTGCGTGCGTGCGTGCGTGCGTGCGTGCGTGCGTGCGTGCGTGCGTGCGTGCGTGCGTGTGCGCGTTTACATCTGAGATAAAATTTGCGACAGTGAAAACCCCCTGTTGTGAAACATTTCTTGCTGCAAACATGATTTCGTTGTAGAGGAGTTTCACTGTACAGCCTCTTCCAAGAGCAGGTTGCAAAAGGTCCACAGGTCCGTATTCACTTTATCCGTTTGGATCTTTTGCAGAGAATGGTGGGGGCGACAGACAGCCAGTGAGCTGAGCCAAAGTGTGGAAATCATCTGCTAAGTTAAAGTTTACAATTAAGTTCTAACATTGCATGGACCGATAGAGAGTCTAAATTGCACTGAGCAGAAAACGGAAGCTTTTTATTGTTGTTGTTGTTTAGTTTTTTATGAACCTCAGCAATACTTTTGATCTCTGTGGAGTAGTGTCAGAGTATTGTTACATAATTTATTGCTCTCTGATTTTAGGTGTATAATCAACTTACAAGTGCGACCCAGCAAGGACCTCGTGTAAAGTACATAGCGCATGGGAAAAGTACAGTGTGCAAATCAAAGTAGTTTATCATGCTGAAGAGACCAGATGGTATTATATTGAATACCTGTATACTGTCTATACTGTGCATCCGTCTATACAGTTCAGCGTCCACTTGATCCTCAATACCCAAATCTCGTGGTGGCCCAGAATGTTATGTATATTATGTGCAACCATCTTCCTCTTTGTGATTCATAAAGCATCACCAATGGAGCTTGTTCTGTTTCTTGACTGAATTAACAGTCTGGCCATAGTCCTCTGAAATGTATGTGTGTGTGAGTGTATGTTTGTGTGTGTGCATACATCTGCATGCATGAGCATGCATGCATGGTATCTCAAATGATGAACTTCAAAAGGAAGAATATACCTAGCAAGTCACTTTAGAGGAAAAAAATAACTGTTGAGAACACTGGATGAATAGAGTGCTTTTTATGGGCCTTTGTCCCAAAGCACTTAAGATGGGACCCAGCAGATAATAGTGGTATAAAAGAACCCTAGGGCCTGTTGCTGGAGTGGGTTACCCCACTTTTGTGAAGAATATTCTTGAATATTTGCTGTACATGCTGACCTGAGGTTCTTTTCAGGTTGTGCTAGTTTTAAAAGTGCAATCATGCACTTAAAAACGATCATTTCAGTGAGCTGCACTGATGAAGTACTTGTTATGAAGGGAAATTTTCCCCAAAAAAGAAAGAAAAGACAGAAGAAAAACAAACATTTCAATCAAGGCGGTGGATTTAAATTTGTGCTACACTTGACAAAAGCATAAATCATTATTTAATTACTTACAAATTCACATTTCAATACAATACCGAGAATAAGAAAAAGTTGACTTGGCCAAGTTCTAGGTCATTAAACTGCATCTCACAATCGCCTGAGGCCTCATTTAACAAGCATGCGTACGCACAGAAGTACGCATGGAGCATGAATAGGAACATTCCCACACAGTAAGGGATTTATCAGTTTGGATTGTGAGGGCGGCATAGTAGTTGTAAATTATATCCCTAAGTGTGATTGTGAGTGTGAATGGTTGTTCGTCGATGTGTGCCCTGTGATTAGCTGGCAACCAGTTCAGGGTGTACCCCACCTACAGCCCGAATACAGCTGGGATATGCTCCAGAATGCCCGCGACCTTCATTAGTATAAACGGATTAGAAAATGGATGGATGGATGAATGGATGCCTGGAGGTTGAAAGAGATACTGGTGAATTATGATGACACAATTATCATTGCTATTATTGGGCACCAAACAATATGTCATAAAAAAAAAAGTGGGATTTACATATACGAGAATAAACAGTTTTCAGTTTGTATTTGAACTACAGTATTATCCAATTATGCTACGTACCCTCACATCATAGTCACCACACAACTGTAGTACAGTGTTCTGAACGTGGTTTTTACAGCCTCAATTCGGATGTGGTTACACTTTTGGAGGCAATTTTACAGCAGTTTAGAAGGTATTTGACAGGAGCAAATAACTTCTTTCGTCCAAATAGGTTTGACAATGCATTTTACAATTGGCATGGAAGTGGGCACATATTCTTCTCTGATTTGCACCCTGATGTCATGATTCTTTGAAACACTTGAAAATTACAAAGATGCACCCAAATCACATTACTTGATGTTGATTCACACGTGTGGCTTTATCCAGAAAAAGTTTCCCTCGTTTCCTGTCCGAGCATCTAGGAATAATGTTGATGCCATTTATAGCACCGGATCCTTATGAAAATGAACGTGTATTGGTGATTTACACTAGTATGATATCATGGGATAAAACTAAAATGGCAACTACCCAGCAATGGACTGGCAACCGGTCCAAGGTGTCGTCTGCCTTTCGCCCAAAGCCAGCCAAGAATTGGCTGCAGCTCCTTACAACCTTGAACGGGATTAAAAATGGATGGATGGATGAATGGAAACTGAAATGGCATGGGAAAAGGATTTGGGGGTTGAGCTTTCTTCAGACGTGTGGCGACATAATCTTGAGTTTAAGATATGGCCATACCGAGGTCAGAAGTGAAGCTGTGTACCCGCATAAGTGTACGACAAATATGTTCCGGGCATGCACCTCACTCAACAATGGAGATGAACAGATATTTGATGTATTTTACAAAATCCGTTCTCAGACTCCAGCATTCAACTATCAGACAATTATCTTTGGCATACCACCCCAGGCTGCAAAAGTCTCAAATTTACAAGCCAATGCTTTGGCATTTGCTTCACTGCCTGCACGTGGGCTCATACTTTTTTAATTAGAAATAAAACTCAACCCTGTCGTATCTCCAGTGGTTGAGGGACATATTATCTTTTCTACCGTCAGAGAAACTGAGATACACGATAAGTACATTTTTGTTCAACAGCCTTGGGGAATGGAAAGATGGCGGCGGGGGGGGGGGGGGTCTAGATACAAGCAACACTGTAATTTATGACACATGAATTATGCACATGAATCAAATGTGGCCAACAAAATCCAATTACCTTTTCTTCTTGTGCATCCGGTGAAAAAATGAATCCCAGACCACTGAAATTGTGCATGTAAGCGAACGTACAAGCTTGAATAGCTTAGTAATAGTTTGATTCGGCTGTTCATATGGCAGCTAATAGAAAAAAAAACATGGGCCTCTGGTGAATGCATGTCTCAAGCAACTCATTGTGGTGTCAACTGAAAGGAGCTGTCATCAGGGAAAGGCTTGATTGACAAGAAAAAGTTAAGCAATTAGCCTGAATAGCTCTCAATAACCAAGTCTAATAATAACTCAAAGACATTGTGACTGCGGGGCGCTGACTGATGAAAGACAGGTACCATACAGAATGGTTACAATGTATTCGTAATTCATTATGCTTGTCTCACCTTACCTCTCCAAGCTCATCTACCTCAACATACCTGCTTGGTGCTTCAGGTCAGCAGATGAGGTGGGGGGACTCATATGAGACTTGATTTTAGTTTGACAGTTTTTGTGCTTTTTACTGTTTTTATATTCCTAATTTATTGTTGTAACTGTCCTTATTGTTGTATGAATAATTTTTGCCCTGCAGCCATGTGTATGCAGTGGTGTTTGTTTTAAAGCATTTATTTCCCTGTGCATGTTTATTAGCGGTATGTTAGTTGATTAATGAACTGCAAGCCAAAGTTTTAAAAAATAACTTGGCAGACCAAATGTTTCTGTCGACTTTGGAGTTCATTTTGATTGTTGCTGCTTGTTTTCATGTTGTTTATGATTGAAGTTAATGAGGTCATCCCAGGAGACCATGCAAGCCACTGTTGTGATGCGAACGCATTTATCTGAAACTTATTTGAGGTATTTGGCTAATTCCAGCCTTATCTTCAATTTTTTTTCTTACTTGATAAGCATTGTGCATTCTCTGGTTGCTCTTTACTTTTGTTAATGAAGTCTTGTAGAAGGGTTACCTTCACACAGAACCCCTGAAGTTTATTGCTGATGTTAATAACAGTTCTCACAATGTTTTGGTCATCATCTGCTGCTATTTTTTGGACATGTTCGTGCCCTTTTTACTCTTTACACCACTGGTTTCTCTCTTCTTCGGGACATTCTAAACCAGGGGTCACCAACGTGGTGCTCACAGCCACGAGGTAGATGACCCTCCCCTCCCACATGGACCACAAAAATAGTCCGTGGACCCGCTCTAAAATTAACTTGCTAGTGATGGGACATTGTCATTTTCTCGAAATAGTGTCAAAATTATTAGTTGAGATTGACAAAAATAGAGTGTTGCATATTGATTTTTATGTTTTCTAATTATTTTGAGAAAGTGATCCTCATGAATAAAACAAAAAACTAAATTAATCAACCTCACTGTTCCAGTGTTTTTGAAGGGAAGTGTAGAAAAGGAGCACCCTCTGTCTTTTCATTTTAGTGTAATGATCCTGTCATCTCTGTCTTCCAGAACCCCAGCGATGATTGGCTGCTCATTTGTGGTAGATCGTGAGTACTTTGGAGAAATTGGCCTGCTGGATCCTGGTATGGAGGTCTATGGAGGAGAGAATATCGAGCTTGGCATGAGGGTAAAATCTGTTTTGCAACAAAGCTGACTTTTCATGCATTAACTGTTGGAGGAGGTTTGGAAGAAGTAAGAGGACAATCTTTCCATTTGGGCTGAAAAAAAAGTCTAAAACAGTCAAGAAAGTTGCTCAGGGGAATCTATGTAAACTCTGTTATCATTGTTTTATTATGAATAAATGCATGGACTGAGTCCAGACCTGCTCCAAAGCTGAATCACTGAGATACAAAGCCCAATTCTACTGAATCTGGGATGTGAACAAAAACAGGATATAATTATTTGCAAATCCTCTTCAACTTATGTTATGACGGAAGTGTGGTTCAAATAACATGATGAACGGACTAACGACTAACCAGTACAGTTTGTTTCAGCTTGAAAAAAATGACGGTCTGGTGATGATGCGCGGCTGCCGCTGAAGGATGATGAATGACGGACAGGCAAAATTTCGTAAATTGCACACCTCTGAGGATTTGCAAAACATTGTAATATTATGCTTGACAAAATGTCCCAACTTCATTCAAATTAGGATGAATAAACCAAAATCAATATAAACCTGAGGCAGAAAGGTTTTAATGTGACTGAATCAAAGCTAAAAATACATTTTTAAAATCCATTACCACAAATCTAACATTTAAAAGTCTGTGTTTATCTAAATAATTCTGGTTTGACTTGTGAAATATACATATTTGCCACAACTTTCGAAAGACATTTCCCGTGTTTTTCAGCTTTAGGCTACAGAGTAAGATACAAAAACCCAAAGGCATCAACAGAAACCACGATTAAAATATGCAGTTAGAATTTCTGAAATTGAAGTGCACGTGGAAAATCTCTCTTATGCAAATTCACAGCCAAGCCAAAGGCTCTTTTGCTGCTGCTTGGAGTTGAATTTAATGCTTCATGTGAGCCAAAGACTTGAAGAATTCATTTGCTGGTTTGCTGATTAAAATCACAGAAATTCTTTCAAGCCAAGTGGAAGCATTTCGGCTCTAAATCCCACCTATGCTTGTCAAAGATACGAGATATACTACTCTTACCTTTTCCATCCCTTGTATCCAAATCTTAAAACGTCATCCAATACCAAACGCCTCTAAAAAAAAAAAAAAA